AATGTACAGAAAATTACAAATTCATTTCAAAATACATCACACTGCTATAACCGAGATAAAAAGTGCTTCTTGGGTTTTGTTTTTTAAATTCAGAAAAAAAGTGTCTCTTCTGAAGCAGAAGTGCTGTTCTACTTTGATTTGAAATAAAAGTCTGGCCTTCCATTGGGGTAATGGTTCCTCCTGCCTGACCCCAAACCCTTTTGCTCTGACTTAGGCTGAAAAGCCCTAACCGAGCGTGGAAGGTGCTTTCTACCCTGGAGTACTAACGGTCGACATGTCAGATTTCCAAGCCCAGATACATCTTCACTGTGTCTCCTTCACGATGTGCCGAGCCATGTCAGCAGCAGTACATTTATTTCTCACTGGCTGTGCGCACTACTGCTTGCTGCTGATTTGGCAGTTACCACCCAACTTCATTGCTTCGCTTGTTTCCCAGAAAACAAACAAACAAAAGCAGCTGAATTTAGTGGTGCCGGTACTGCCTCATGAGAGGCACTATGCAAGAAGGAGGCCCAGCGAGTTTCAGAAATGGGTGTCTCAGGAGTTCTTGTGCTGTTCCTCTCTGCGAAGGCTCCCTCACCAGCATCAAGTCTAAAAATCCACGGAGAACTGATGAAACCTAGGAAAAGCCAAATGACACTGTGAGGCTACTAAGATCTAAAGCATGCATCAGAAGGTTGTGGCTTGCAGACCAAAGGCAGCTTTCAAAGTTCTTTCGTTTAACCTACGTTCACTTGCTCTCAAACAATCACAGAAACACCATGACAATGATTTACATGGAGAGAAAGACAAAGAGAAATTGAGCTTCAGCTGGCCTCAACTGGAGGCCTACCTGTTTGCCCAAGCTCTGAATTGAATTTATGCTGCAGTATCAATGAGTGTGTTTCTGTTGTGGCTGTGGCTGTTCTTGCTACTTTACAGTTTACTACCTTTTGTGATTTATATTTCTTAGATTTTTCACTTTAACTTCTGAATTTTTGTAAGGTTTGATTATTTAATTGTACCCCACTTGGGGATTTGCTATTAATTTAAAATATACTATGGGGAAAAAAGAAGGGTTATTCATGCACTCATATTTATCAGGGATGATGCAATTTTATGTATAAAAAATTATTTGTCTTCTCTATCAGTAAATGCTAGGACAACTGGGAATATGAGCGAGAACTGTATCTTCTGTTTTGCATGGCTAACACAGAATTGAATGCTACATGGTTCACTTTTTTAGAACATGTTAAGGAAGAGTGATGGCTAAATGGAAGGAGAAATTCAAGTATATAAACTGTTCCTACTTAGAACACTCTACAAATGCAGACAACCTATTGAAATATAAATTAATGCAGAGATTAAAGTCACAATCTAAGAGTGTTCAGTGAGTTTAAGCCTATCCTTAGACAGCTAAATGGGCTAATAATCTTGTGTATGGGCAGAAAGAAAACTTGCACCATCTCATCCTGTTTGCTTGAAACAGTCTTCCTGGTTGTCTACATGTTGATGTACTTCTTGGAATATAAACAGTGAGTTTGGGGTTATGTGCAGTTCTGGGGCCTCAGGTTATCCCCATTTATTTCAGGCTACTAAGACACTGCAGGAGAATGATGAGCGCAAGACTCAAAGGAAACATGAGCATTCCCACCTTGTGTAGATCCTTCACTCTTGGTGGTACGTTGTCTCGGATTCTGCGCATGGCCTGGAGAGGTGGCTCATTGAAATAAGGTGGCTCCCCGTCTATCATTTCTATCACCATGATGCCAAGAGACCAGATGTCCACCTGCAAGATAGATCTGATTACAGTGCAAAGAAGCTGCATGAAATTTACCTTTTATAGATGCTTAATCCTCCTTATCACTTTGCCCTATTCATTTTCTTTAAAAAGAGGTCATTTATGGTTGGCATTGCAGGGCTTTGTCCTGAGGAGCTGGTGACGCACATCTAATTTCAAGTTGGCCGCACACTTAATTTCAGTAGGTAACACTGCCCTGTTTTTCATCTATAAGCATTTTCTACTAATACATTATCTCAAAAATCCTGTTTGGGTGAGTTTTACTATAAAAATAAACTTACCCTGTTACTAATTATCCTCACCTCTCAAAAGTCCACGTGATTGGTGTTGGAAGTCGTTCTCTGGTAACAGAGACCAACACCAGTTTAGATGGAGCATAATTAGCAGGACCCCCAGATTTCAGCTGCAAAGATCCAGGCAATCATTCGATACAGAAAATAGTAACTCCTTGCTGCTACCTAGAAGTTAGGTACGTTTGCAGCCCAAGTCAGAGAGCCCTACTAATTAGAATATTTCATTGGCTGCACCTCTTAGGGCAGCCTGGCTGTTCTAAAGAACTAATGACTCACCACAAAGGATTTAGAAGAGGTTTTTCAAATTATGTTCAGCCCAACAATACTGGGATCTTCATAAAGTGCATCAACAAAGGAATTCAAGAACTCAACCCTCCCCATCAAATCAAACTACCATACAAATTATTTAATGAGAACAGCAGTGATGGACAACTCTCAATGAACCATGGAGAGTATGATTAATTGCTTTCTGTATGCTGCTCTTACTGAGAGTGGGTCAGATCTAGAGTTAGTTGTATGTAAAATACCACATGAAACTAAAGTTGAAGTTAATTATAGGCACTTGCAATTTCTATTTTTTAATGTAGGCACTATTCCCAGCGGATACAGTATAAAATACAATGGAAAATAATAGTCTATGAGTCTCTTTTGCAATGAATTTCATGTATCGGTGATCACAGTTGTGGAACACTGAAGTGATGGCACAGATCATGAGTTCACACAATACTCTCTTTGTGGCAAGCCTGAAATGAGCCCTGACATCCCGAAACTATTCATAAGGACTAATTACATCAGCTGTTTTGAGGACTCAGAAGGGCCCCAAAAATGTAGCACAGAAAAAAATGGAAATGGGCTCACTACAACTGTTCTTATAAATAATAATCTCTACCAGATTCTGCCCTCCTTCAACAATCACCTGAAAGCAGACATTACATCAAGTTGCAGCAGAGAGCCACTTCCTATCCTAGAAAACCAGGATATTCAGCTTTTTCTTTCTCTGAGGGTTATCATTTCAGTTGTTCATTTTAAGAACTGCTGTGCAGTTTTGAGAGCTATTTGCTTGAGTCACTGCTTCTCTCATGCTCCCTTTCTTCTTTTGCATGATGTTCAGATAGTGACTGTGTTCATACAACATGCAGACCGTAGTCACTTAAAGACCTAGCAAATGCATTCATACATCAAGCTAAGTAAACCTGGTGAGCATGATGTTTAGGGTTTGTGTGCATAAATGTGTATGTGCAAATCAAGCCACCTTGTTTATTTATGGTTCAATGTATTGTATGAAGCTAGGAAATGATTAATTCAGTAACCAAGTTAAGTGTATTGTGTGAACAGAGGGACAACCTTACTTTTTATCAGTGCTATGGAAACAAGACACTTTTTCTTTTCTTTTTTTTTATTTATTTGTAGCATTTATATGGCTACTCAGTTCAAACAATATGATTCTGGATGGTGTACAATAAACCAAAACACAAAATTAACAATTACTAGCAAAAAACAAGAAGAAATTATTAATTGCCAATGCTCAAATTTGTTGTACTTCTTTGGACAGGAACTCCAATCATCCTGACCTATGCCCAAGGAAAGAGTCAGGTTTTCACTGCCTTTCTTGTGGAGTAGTAATGTTATATGTTAGATAACATCTGTGTCCCTGCATTCTGGACTAACTGTAACTTCCAGATGGTCTTCAAAAGCAGTCCCATTTCAGTAATCCAGCTAGGAGATGACCCCCAAATCGCATAGTGGGTCTGATTGGGATAGTGCAACCTTGTCCAGAACATCTCCAGTCCCAGGATCCAGGGGACCCAAAACCTACAGCCACTTGGTGTTGGTAGGGTTGAACAAAAGCCTGCTGTTCCCCATCCAGATCTCCACAACTTCCAGACATTGGGACAGAACCTTGACAGCCTCACTTGATTGGCCAGTGGCAGAGATACATAACTGAGTATCATCAATATAGTGAAGATACTATACCCCAAGTTGATAGATGACCTTCCCCAGTGGCTTCAGGTAGATGCTTAAAACAGGCAAGGAGAGGGTAGAGCCCTGAGGCACCCCGCAAAGCAGTTCTGGACCAATCCCTCCCAAACAACACTGACTGGAGCCAGCCCTGGAGGGAGGAAGCCCCCTGAGCCAATCCAGAAAGATACCATGGTTGATGGCATTGAAGGTCACCAAGAGGTCAAAGAGGGCCAGGAGGGATGCACTTCCTCCATCTTGAGCCTACCAAGGGTCATTGAGTAATCATATCCATCTCAGTACTATATCCCAGTCTGAATCCAGACTGGAAGAAATATGACATTTAAGTTGAAATGCTTTAAATAAATAAATATTTAAAAGGAGATAATTGTTTTCCAAATTAAAAAAACCCAAAAACTATGTTGCTGAATGGAGCGAGATTGTCACTTTACTCACCTCAGTTCCATAAGGCAGTCTTGAAATCACTTCAGGTGCCATCCAATATGGGGTTCCAACAAGCGATTTCCTTTTTGGAACATCTTTTGAAACTTGGGCACAGAATCCAAAATCTGACAGTTTTATCTGAACAAATCATAATACATAATGCATTGCAAAATTAATCAAGCGGGCAGTATTATTCACATTCGTTGACCAGATGTCCATAATTTGGACTGTACAATATATTCAAATGGGGAGCCTTTTTCCAATGTAGGGCAGAAACTTTATATCAGTTGGAGTCTTTGGCCAATGGTAGATACATCTGCCATTGGTAATGGATGGAGCAAAAGTATCAACTTGGAGGAATTTTCAATGTGGGAAAGAGCACTCTTTCCTCCTCTCTCTGTGGTACCTCCACCAAGCAGAATAGGAAGCAGTTGCCAGAAGAATATTTCAGGGAACAAAAGTAGTGAGATATCCAAAGAGCTGTATACTATTAAGGGCCAAATGGAATTAGATGAAGTTTATGAAGGTTGTTGGGGAGTAGGTTCCCCACCCAATTAATCACAAATCTCTACTTGAAATTATAAACAGTTATATCAACAGCTCATTTTCTATGATTTCAATAATTTCTGGCTGATGATAAACTTCATTGTTTGTCAGCTGATCACAAAAAAAGCATTGTCTTGCACACCTCTCATTTTCTCTTATCAAGGGACCTTTCCTTTTTCTCTAGTTTGTGGAAAGAATGATTTTGACTGGGATGTTGTCTGCTGCCCCTCTTCACGCATAAGTTCTTTAAATTGCTTGTTCCTAGAATTAGTAGTTCTGATAGTAGAACTGTCTCACAAAATTCAGGAAAATGCTAAGATCACCTTATAACTGCCTTTTGGTTTGCAAATTGAGTCAAGAAACATGAATTAAGTAAATTTGCATTAGAACAAAACTGAATAAATAGTTGTTTATTTGTTTTACCTGGTACTAGCTTCAACCAACTCTCAAGAGTTTATAGTAATAAAATCAAGAGGATAAGAACTCAACTGTCTCTAAGTAGCAATATAAAAGTATATGCGGGATTTCTTCAATATCTTGTATTCTTTGTTGGGAGGAAGGGGGAGGGGAGGGCTTTAAATTGCACTAATCAATGTTACACATTTGCTTAGTGGAACCACAATGTACCTGATCAAAACGTTCTCTTTATCAACTCATGGCAAAAACAATTGTCCTAACATACATCAAGACCCCTTCCTGTGCCTGCAGCAAAATAATCATGGGCTAACGATTAAGCCTTGAGTCCTGGGACTGAAGTGGATTGGATCACATTAGCAGCTCATCTATCACGTCAGGATGCAGTTGGAGATCCAGAATAGGGAGCTATCAAAATAATTAATAAGGAAGCTTTCTAAACGTGTGCATGATGGTGGCTCACATTTTACTTGTGGCCCTGTTTATCTTATTTTGGCATTATTTTTCATCAAGGACCTCTCATCTTTCTTTCCTGCTTCTTAATTCAACATCAGTCAAATAAAAATTAGAAATGATTGTTACTATTTATAAAACCATAGCCCGGCCAACCATGGCATAAACAAAGGTTCTTTTTATATCATGAAAGGGAGACAAAACAATGGATATTTTCGAATGCCAGATCAATTTCCCTTTATGGGGGAGCAGAGGAAGCTTTTGCCCATTTTCTGCATCTTGAAATATATAAAAGATGGCTTTAGAGAGGAGGGGGCGGGAGAATCAGATGATTATACAACTGTTCATGACAAAATGAGCACCGCAGACAATGAGCATAATGAGGCATTGTATGCATATTATTAAGCAAAGATCAGGAGAAACAAGCCAAAAAGCATTCAAAATGATGGTCCTGATATTCTCTTCTTTTTGAAGCAGGTCTAATATCCCCCCTGAATATAAGCAATTTGCAAATCAGGATAGATGAATCTGTCCATTTTGATTTCACTCAGTTTCTATTTTATTTTATTGCATTATTTTCTTTGGCGGGGCACTGGTTTCAGTACATTTCGGCAACACTTAGCAAATGTTGCAAAAATAATGAAGTCTGTATGAAAACGTGCACGCATGTTTATAAGCATGTCTCTTAATTTGTGTGTCTTTGTCTTGATTTTTCTTAGTTTTTACACACTCAGTGTTTCTTAACGTCATTTGTTTCCCTGTGTCCTTTTCCCTAAAATATACTTTTCTGTACAGGCTACTCTGTGATAAGCACATTTGTGTTTTTTTTTAGTTGAGGCCCCAGTGCAACATTCGAAAAAGTGTCGATTTTAGGATTTTGATTCACAGATTGATTTGGCCAGAGGTATGAATCGGATCAGTTCGGGTATAAATTCAGGCTGAGCAATTTTTTCCTCCGTGTCTCTTGGTAAATGATGAAGCCTGCAGGCAAGTGGTATACATTTTATGGACAGGTTGTTATTCGCCTCTGTAGGTTGTTAACATTTTACTGAAGTCAGCTGAATTTTGGCAAAGCTAACTGTACACAGCATCATTGCTCTCCGTGCAGAAAAAGAACTACAGTATTTGATGAGAATTGTGCTCTGTTGAAGGCTAATGCCATCACCACATCTTGGGCATCAGTTTTCCTAGCCTAAACGGTCAGAGAAGGGCCACTGCTATCTTTATGACTGTAGATCTGTCACTAGATTTGTTGACTAGCCTTCCATAGCCATTCATGCTAACATGAGACTGCAATTTCCCAAAGGAGACTGCAATTTCCCAAATTTAAATTCCTATCAGGGAAGTGTTGCATTTATTTAATACATTTGGATTCTATTAAGTTTATATTTTTGTAGCATGTTAAAAAGCTATTAGATAATAGAGTTAATCCTTTTTAATTAGGTAATAATCATTTTTAATTACTAAGCAAATACATGTTTGAAATGTCAGAAATACCTGCAGAACCTTATGTTGTTGTGTAGAACTATGAGCAAATTTCATTTTTTCTGAAATACTTAAGAGTCTAGCCTGGTGTTCCAAACGGTTCCTTTACACAGTCACTGAAATGGCGAATCTATATCTGTTTGCTTGCATGTGTGAGACATACCATTGTATACATTTATCTTTCCATGCTTTGGATCAAGGTAAACTGAAATGTGTTTGCTGTAGATTGTGTTGATCTTAATCCTACCAATAATACAATGCTTTTTCATTGTTTACATGGATAATTGCCTGGAGGTGGTTACAGAGGCGATGAAAAAAAATCGCCTTCAAACATGTGATGACCCAATAACTCATTTCCTAACTTCCAAGTGTAGGAAGTTTAGTGACTCAATTCACAAACTCACACTCATGAAAGCTGTGTGAGTGTGAACAACTGTGTGAACAACTTCAAAATCTATAGAAGTTCTTGAGTCTATACTGTAGTTTTATAATTTCTTCTAAAACATTTCATGTTAACTTTTCTCCAGCAATCAGTAGAGGAGGCTTGAAAGTCAAACTACTGCAGGTGATGTTCTGTTGATGCTTTTCAGGTGTCTTTTACTGGCCCAACCCTTCCACAAAAGCCACAGGGACCTCTTGAATGCTAACCCAGTAAATGAATATAATCCATTGCATACTGAATGGCTTTCTCTTTGTGCGTGGGATCAGTGTCAATTCTGGCTGATATTTTGAGAGATGATTTCCACCCAGCTCTTTGTAGTCATGTTAAGTTTGTTCATTATCCATTTTTTGTCATCCCAATTAAAATCCCAATCCATTTTTTTATGGTCCCAATTAAAAAAAAAACAAGGCCCAGGAAAATGACAAATACTTACTCGCCCATCACTAGTGAGGAGTATAGAGTCACTCTTTATATCCCTGTGAATAACTCCTTGATTGTGAAGGTAGGACAATGCTCTTAGGACAGACAGACACACAGTAGCAATCTGTTCTTCATTCATTCTGGAATTTGGCAGGCAATATAGGAAAAGAAATGTTGCCATATGATTACTGCTGGGGATATTTTTCCCAAAACATTATTACAAAAGATAATATTAACTAAAAATATTTTGAAAGTTTCAAAACAAATAGCAAAAACTAAATAACTCAACCAACTTTTTTTTTCCTGATATTTTACAGACTGGAAGTGCATTATTACTGTTTTCACAAAGCCTATTTATATACTCATAAGCATACAGAAGATGGTGAAAGAAAGATGTAAAAAGATATATGTTCATGTACACTAATAATATTTAGGGAACTCTGCAGAAGACATATACATTTTTGAAAGCAGGTCTTCATTTACCTTCTGAGGATAAGGTCCTTCTTTGTCAAGCTCAGTCCAAGAACAACAGGGAAACAGTTCATCCAAATTCAGTTGTTTTATTGCTTACACCATATAGACAGAATCTTGCCAGACTAAATCTGTGCTACTGCAACTAGTGGATATACCCTGGGAGTGGCTATTCTAAATCTCTTATGCTTCCCACGCTCCTGCTCTGGACTGTGCTGTCTCTTGTCTCTCTGCCCTTCCTAGAATGTGCCCCCTCCTTCCTGAGAACCTTGCTCTCTATTGAAATTCACCACATCCCCCCCCC